GACTTAGGGAGGCTGAAGTGAGGGTGGATGGAACTGCTAGATCGGGGATAACGGGACATGTACGCCATTTAATTGCTAAATTTTGCTGGGAGCCTATGGGGCAAAGGGCCGTTTTATTTCCTAACTTAGGTCATAAGAGCCCATTAAGGTGCTTGAATAATTTGCACAAGGTGTAAATGATTACGTTACCATAGCCACCAGTTTTGTTGCCATAGGTTAAAGGGCAACTCCGCTCAATTCCGAAAAAAATTAGGTTTCCATGTGATTCACATTCACAAAGCACTACTCAACAACTCTACGTCTTCGGATTCGCGAAATGTGGAATAATATTTGTGTAATCCTAATTTAAACATCAGCAGATACCGAAACCGAAACTTCGGTTGCGTCAGGCAACATTGGTCTCGGGTCGTCAAAGTCATGGGCACGTCACGTCGAACCACGTGGTCTTGTGACGTTCGGGAGGGAGCGAGAAACAGGACACGCGACGCGTAAGGTCCTTTTTTTTTTTTCTTTTTTTGGACGCGGGCAGGTCGCTTCGCATGGCGTGGACGGTGATGGCCCGGGGGAGAGGGGGAAGGGGAAAAGACGAAGGAGGAGAAGGGGAGCGGAGAAACGGACCGATAAGCGCGCAGGGCAGCGCAAACTATCGCATCCGTGTTACGGTGATCACGTGAACGGCCGGTCAGCCAACACCGGGAGGAGAAACTCATGACGTCATCGTTCAATTTCGCTCTGAAAAGTAAAAACAAGCAAAACATGAGAATGACGTTTGCATGCCTCTGACGTAGTGGTTCAACGTTGGCCGCTCCAACTCTGTGGCGTTGACTGCGCTGATGATTGCGCCTCGCGCCGCACGCTAGAGTTGGCAGATTTCGGCGACTTGGCTCGCTTGAAGGTTTGCTGGCCAGTTTATTAAATATATAAACGGAATTAGTTCGTAATATTTGACATGGGGTCTTCCTATATGGGGTACATAGTTTTCTAAATATCAAAAATGAAGCGGAGTTGCCCTTTAAGTATTTTTTTTAACGCGAGAAATGGCAAATTCCGCCATCTTGGACGTTGCTGCTTGTCTGGCAATTCTGCTTTCTCCTCTAGACGTTTGCGATTCTCGGAGCGAGAAGACAGCGAGAGAGGCTGCGCCAAGGCGTTTGTTGCTTGCAATGAGAGGCGAGAGGAGGAAAGGCGCATGGAGCAACAGAGTTGCAACATAGCGGGCGTCTGCTCTCGTGCAGGCAACATTGGCGCATATCCTTTCCTGAATACTCTCCCTCAGGCGCGACCATTAAATTGCAAACGCTCTCCAGGTTTTGAGTTACACCCACCCTCACTAGAGCCTCCCTAGCCCGACTTGATTTCCGCTCCCGCGAGTGAAGCCACCGGACGGCCATGCATCTTGGTCGTAGACGATTTGCGGTTTTGCTAGCGTTACAGAGGCTGGCGGCAGCGTGCTGAAGGCACGTTTTCTACTCGTTCGTCGTCATTCGTCAAAGAATATTTGAGGCCCTGTGTATGGGTTGAAACTTGCCGTTGAGAACACGTGGAAATTTTTATGAAAGCGCAGTGCAGCAGGGAAAGTACTGCGTCTTTGTAAGATTTCGTACTATTGATGTCATTGCCATAAGCGTCTAGATAACAAAACAAAACAACTACAAAAAAACACGCCGCTGATGCCGCCCTTCCGTCGCTACTGGGCACTGTACCAAGCTCGTTTCTGGACCACGAGTGCCGCAAATTAATAATACAGTAGTCAGAGTAAAAGTAAGACGCTGCTCCAGAGGTACGCACGGCTTCACGCACATTGCACTAGCAAAACACATCCACACGGCGCCTAAACTAATCTTGATCGGTATCCAAGCGTGCGAAGGCACAGAGATACAGCACTTTGGCGTGCCAAGGAAGCTTTGACAACTCGGCGAAACTTGCTTTCGACGAGTTGTGCCTTTTTCCTGCGGCACTGCGCTTTCGTAAAATGTTCGATGTGTTCACATCGGCAAGTCTCAACGGTTTCACAGGGTCTTAAAAACCTTCCTTGGCGAATGAGGACGAACGAGTAGAAAATGTGTCTATGGCACGCTGCCGCCAGCCTCTGCAACGCTAGCAAAACAACAAATTCGTCTACGAGCAAGATGGCCGTCCGTACGCTTCACTCGCGCTGCAGCGAGCAAGTGGGGAAGTGCGATTCAGCAATTGTCATTGAGATCACTGATCTGAACCAATACCTGCAGCCATACGGTTCCCGGAGTGGTCGCTGCGCGAGTTTCCCAACTGAATATTCTAGCAGAAACGGAATGAGGGGGGGGGAAGGGGGGGGGGGGGCGACCGCTTTCCCTGGGCTCCCCAAGGTCAACTTTTTTTTAATAAAATCATTGATATACACCCCCCAAAATTTAGTTTTTGATGGCATAGCAAATATTGGGTCGACAAATAGACCTGGGTAACGTTTCCACCGTGTCATATCTCGGCAGACTCCCCCCCCCCCCACCCCTGTATTCTAGTAACGTTGGCATCGGCTCTCTGTTCCCCGATATTGTTTTGGGCGCCGCCATTTTGGTGCTTAGTACAATGCAAACGCAACTGCCGGTAGTCATGATTCAAAAGTGCGACCTCCTCAGCATTAGATTCGGTGTTAGGAAGCTCATGTCATATTGCCTTGCTCTGTCGCGAACTGTTTAGACATCTGTGGAGGACGAAAAAGCGTTTCCTGTGACTTCAGAAAAATGTTCAGATAACTGGCAACCATTATTTTAAGCTCCAAGATGAGTAAGTGTCGTTGCTCTGAAGCGTAGCTTATTTAGCGGCGCTATGCTAACCCGATCGGCCATAGGGTGCTTACATGTCTGTTCGTCTCAGGGTGAAAACATTCATTGTTGCACCGCATTTCACCACAGAAGTCACACACTCACTGTGTGACTTATGCGGTAAAATGGCGTATTAGCACTGGCCAAGGCTACGCGCTCGAGCTAAGTCACACCGGATTGTGCGCACAGCAAAAGACAAAAAAGAAAAAACGATTGAGTGGTAAAATGGTTGAGATGTCACCACTCAAGGAAAATCGCGTGCGTATAAGACACTCATTCGACCACCGATTCCCCTGCTCTCTAGTAGTAATGTAATACGTTTACTAAGAGATGAGATCTAGGGTCGTTGAGAACCTACACTCTCAACAAAAGAGTAGTCGTAGGGTACTACATTTGGGGTAGTCAGAAGTCGTCACAGATATCGCTACCCCCCCCCCCCCCGTCAGTAATACTAAAGACCCCATGGCTAGTCACACGGCATGCAATCAACATGTAGTCACAGTGAGCACCCCCAAAAGTAACATGGCGGCAGGCAAGCGACAGTGGAGCAATACGAGTAAGGCCTTGCGAGCTGGACTTCTTTTTGCTAAAATACGATTCTCAAGTGCGTACGCCCGTTCGCTACCTTCCGTGCGCACTAAAGCACTCCAAAACGCGCATCGAAGCACCGGCACCGCGCCTAATGCGAGTAGGGGTGGCGATGTAAGGGGGGGGGGGGGGGGGGAGCAGGCATTTAAGGGGGTTTGTCCGCGACTGTTTTCGCGCAGCCGGCTGCATTTACTTCGCGGCCAGAAAACATTCAAAGAAGAAATCGTATAGCGACAAATGAAATGATGTCTTTATTGAACAGAGAATCTGCTTGCTGTGCTTGCCGCAAGTGATCCGGCGTTTTCGGTTGACAGCGGCGAGGCGAGGCATCACCGATTCAAGCGGCGTCGGTTCCGATCGTTCAACGCTCCTGCTCACCTGTTAGCATTCGTTATTCACTTTCAAGTCCCTGGTAATCCCCACCACGTCTGTGCACGCACTATTCACCACACGGAACACCCATTTAACTGGCTATGGGACAGCTCCCACTGGGACGAGAGGCCGAGAACCGAACCCTTTGTGGCTGCTCCGTGGAACCATGGAGCGCCTCCATGTTTTTCACTCAAATAAGTAGACACATAAACGCGCGACTCCTTGAATTGGGCGGCGACACGCGCCACGGTACAGTGTACTGGACCCACGGCTATTTTATGGCACCCGGCCGCCATTGCGCTGTCCGCCATATTACTATGATGGCTAGAGATGATATAACTCTACCCAAAGATGGCCGCCAGTGACCGCATTTGGGTCCATAGGCGGAGCTGGTCAAACGCGATCCAGGAAATAGACATAGAGATCAGTGAGCTATATAGTGCTCTAGTTTTAGTAGGTGTCTACCAAGGTTGCCTGTACTCTTTGGCAATGTTTGTTTTCTGCCAGTTTAGGCGAACTGAGCCACACGCCTGTTTCGAACCGGTTCAAATTTGAATAAATGGTAACCAACGCACAAAGGAAACAAGTTTCAAGTACTTTTTGAGATTTTTGAAGTGACTTTTACTATTGAACGGCTGTATACACCTGAATGTTCAATACAAGAGTTTATAAAACGTGACTACCCCATGCTTGTCACTTGCCAATAGGGTGGTAACGCTCAATGGCTCGAGCACGGTGGGTAGTAAAGTAAGCCTCTGGGGTAGTTACAGCCGTCAAAACGCATGATGACTAAGGAGGGTGCTCACTTTTTCTTAGAGTGTAGATTGTAGACAGGGTCCATGTCGAACCATGGGGAGCGTTCGCAATTTTATGGCGTACGCCTCCCGCGCCAATTGGTCGCAAGTGCGCATGCGCTGCGTTTTCGCGTGGCGAGGAGGAAAGCAGGCGGAAAGGCGAAGACACTCGCAGACGACCAACGCGTTGGTCACTTCCTAGCAGCTCGTATTGCAAACGCGGTCCGTAAACCACGTGACCCGCATCGAGCAGTTGGAAAAATTCTATAAAACAGGATCTCTGGTTTTCGTCGCGGAAACTAGCATCATATAGCTTATCGTGGCTTCCACGGCAACGTGTCATCTTCCTCAAACGAGACAAGAAAGTGTCCACCGTTCGCATCTATAGTGAAGCGTTCGACGACACCGAGAGTGAAGCGAGCGAACGGGACGTCGGGGGACTTACGCAGGCACTCCTTCTCGCAGTCCTCTCGGTTCTCGAAGTTGTTGGCGTTCTCGGTGCAGCCTCTCCACACGAACTCGTGGCACTGGGCCGCGCTGGCGTTGTAGAAGAAGCGGCCGCGCAGCATGGCACACGAGCCTACTTCCAGGGGTTGCAGGCACTCGGGCTCCATGCAGTGCCCTCGGAAAAGAATTAAACTCTCCGTTAGTTGTTCACAATCCGTTCCACTCTGAAGGCGCGTTCACACTGGCGGCTAGCGACAGTCGCGAGAGCGACTAGTGACAAGCGACCACCGACGTTCACACTGCGGTCGGTCCGCGAGTCGCTATATCGGTGAGTCGCTTCTCGGGTTCTGTTCCAAACCTTACTCCAATGGACCAGAGTTCCTTCAGCGGGTCGTGTCACGTGACAACAGATATAGAAAAACGCCCGACGCGGGCATGTTTTCAAACGCTAAGGTACAAAACCATTACCCTGGAGTAAGAACAAGTAAATTTTGGAGCACAGCCTGGGAAGCTCTCGGGAGCTAGCCGCCGATTAAGTGCACCCTGCCACAGCTCGGGTTCGCGTTTCGCTGTTGTTTTTTTTAATTTTCGTTGTCTTACAGCTACACACGGGTCATCTTTGCCATACTAAAGAAAAAGGGGGTCGTTATGTTGCCATAGGGCCTTCGGAACTGTAAAACAAGAAGCACGATCGCTATATCGCCATGCACCCGCTCGAGCTACCGCGTCGCAATGCAGTACGTGTATACACGTGAATAAGTAGCATGGATTTGCTGCCAGTCTTAGTTCTTTCTCAGGCGCTCGTTCGAATCAAGTTGCTCCGCTTATAAAGCAATGGGTGTTCTTTAATAGCGCTGACCGGAGCCGCCGTAGAGACCTCCGTGACTCTGTATCCACGGCCGCTACCGCGAACCGAGGCATTGAACGGATGGTCGCTGCCTCTCTCTACAGACAGAAGTTCGGTTAGCCGGGTGCAAACAGACGCGAGGCGCACCTCCCGTCACTTCCGAGGCGCGGCTGATTGGTTCTGCCACCAAGCGACTCGGCAACGAGTCGCAAAATTAAATTCGGTCTGGAAGTGACTGCTCCTGTCGCTTTCGCAACTTGCAATTGTCGCACGACAGCTGCGACTTGCCGGTGTGAACGCGCCCTTAGTCCGCCCGCAGCCAAAACCTGTGATCCGGTAAAGCCGATCGAATACCGGCGGAAGTGCTTTGTCACGACGCTCCTCGTCTTCGTGCATTTGCTATGCCCGATCAGCTACTATGTCTTCTTCTTAATCTTGACCATAAAAAAAAAAAAAAAACAGCGCCAAGCCAAAACCCAAAACTCAGTTTGGGTTCGGCGCATGTGCAGTGGGAGGCGCTTATTTCTTTGGGGCGCCCTCAAGCTTTGGGGACCCCTATTCTAAAACTCTCTATTGTCTGGGACGTGTTTATTCGTCGTATGATAGTCCTATCACATTGGACAAACAAACACTGTCTGCACACGTATTCGAAACATAGATATATGTGAGAAGCAAATGTGCTTCGAATATACTCGAGGCGTGACCGCAAATAATTATGTTATCATGTCTGCAGCGTGTCTTTCGCATTACGAAACTTAACGAAACCTTCTTTTTTAGACCTCATTATCTTTGTTGGACACTCATATCTATCCATCCACCCATTTAGGCATCGCCTCCAGTCCGAAGCGTGCGATTGAATCCGAGTCGACGTCAGACGCTCACGCAACGCTTGTGTCCAGTACATGTGGGGCGATCCATTGTACAATTGTTACAGCAGCAATAGCTAGAACCTGCACATTTTTTCAGAAGTGAATATAACGGTAGATTTTTTTATTGGAAGTAAACTGTGGTCAATTACTATTTGAAGAGGTATTGCGAACGTCTTTGAGTTGAGTTGTAATTCGATTCGTATCATGATTGTTTGCACTGTCGGGTGAAGTACGTCTAAAATGTACTTGAAATACGAAGTAAATGAGGGGTTATGTATGTACTTCAGGTAAAGTCATAGAGTTATAGAGTACGCTACAAGTTCAACTGGCGATAGTGTCTATGCGACTTCCGTGACGCAAATTGAAGCAGACAGCAACCAGTCTACTTTTCCAGTCTTCCTGTGTATTCCTATGGGAAAGCGCGCGTGCATTTTGTCTCTTCGCCGGAAAATAACACGGAACACTTTGGTTATTTGGGTCGTACCGAATAGTATGTACCTTGATTAACATTGTAAGAGTGAAATTGCTTTTGTTAGCGCATTTTTCTTCATCAGTGACCGATGTTTAACTTCGCTACATTTCAGTCCCAAACGGGTGTTCCGCAGCATTTGTGTAAAAACAAGCGACGATTCGAAGCAAAATTACAATAGAAAGGAATGTAAAGCGTGTTCAAGGCTCGCCAGCAATCCGGTGACGCTTATATATTGATAATATGCCAGTCCTGTCACTTTATAAAAATGACCCCGTCGTGCATGAACGGATAAAAACATTCAAAACGTAGGGAATAAAGTCCGTGGGCTATAAAAGTTTTCTCTTCGTATTGTTTTCTCTGCCGGGCAGCTTTTATCGGGCACTTGTTCTCAAAGATTTCGAGCGTGCGAGTGATATTTTGAACGTAGAACAAGCAGCTTCGCTCAGAGCAGAAAGAATAAAACGGTACTTACTTATTTAAAATAGGAATAGATTATGTGGCCTTCAATAAATTTTGATCGTATATGCACGTGTAGTTACTGATCCGGTGTTACTGCGTAGTTCTTGCCGTCTTTCTTAATTTCCAGATGTTCTTCGTTTGTTTGGCACGTATATCCCCCACGCTGAAAAGCGCCGACGTCGTGTTCGCGCTAACAGTGTCCGACAGTGCACATAGATACACGTACGAAGCTGTTTTAGCACCGTTTTTAATGCGATGAATTTGAAAGAAAAACACCGTAACTGACCAATTATTTCGTCGGCCTGACTGAGAAATGTTCCAAGTATACCTAGTACGTACGAATTATTCGGGATATTTGCGCTTATGATCAAGCGCAGAGAGAAAATGCACTCAGTTTTTCCCATAGAAATGCATTACCGGAAGTCAATTTTCGACTGGTTGCTGTCTGCTTCAATTTGCGTCAGCACACTAGCGCCACTTGAACCTCTAGCGTACATTATAATAACTCTATGGGTAAAGTAGTAAGTACGCCGGGTGCAATGTACTTGAAGTAAAATTCTATAAGCACAATGTACTGTTAAAGTAAAGTACATCTTTCATGGCCTTTTTAGCTAGTATTCATTTCCCCAGAGACAATCGTGGGTGCATCAGTTTTTTTCGGATATGGCGGCAAATATTGGATAAAGTCAAGCGGCCACGGAAATTGTTATTGTCAGCAATGGCGACAAATTCAGAAGTTCCTCCGACTTTTGAATTTGGTGCCGCTTGCACAGGCGTTCACCAAGGGGGGCCAACGTAGTAGGAGAGACAGAGCGTCTGTTGGGTCAGCCACCAAAGCTTGCGCAAGCAATCCTCTCGCTGAGGAGTGTCCTCTCCTAATTATATTGCCCGACCCGCTTACGGTCGGTTAAGTAGCGAGAGTTATAAATAGTTCTGGAAAGCCGACGTGCCTAGTAAATGGAGGGATGCGTAGCTCTGCTCGCTCCTCTGGTGAGGGTAGAATATGCCTGTCAGATTTCTTCGAAGTTGAGAAAATATACTTTGAAGTCGGGAGTTGTACTTTCCTCGGAAAGTACCAGAAAATATCTTGTACATAGTCGGAGAACATACTTCAAGTACAAGTTTTCTAAACCTACTTAAAGTTGTATTTTAAGTACAAGGAATCTAAAGTTCTTCCCAACACTCATTTTATGGCATACTAATATACTCATAGTACCCACCACAAACTATATTTCTCCGCGAAGTGCTTGTTTTGGTTTCTATGAAGTGTGCTCTAAGACCAAGTTCTCCGATCTCGCGAAAATTTTTTAGAAACAATCTTGAGCAAAAATGTACCATGAGCATGTTTCTTATCCCACTGCTAAAGAAAGTATCTAAATGCCGAACCTTGTCGCAATCGTGTCGGCTCTAAAAAACCTAAGGTCTTTCGTTTTTTTTTTTTTTTTTTTTTTTTTTTTTTTTTTTTTTTTTCTGAATGTACTTGGTAAAGTTAACCCCAGAAACCTAATGGGATGCAGGAGCTCGGCAAATGATCAGGCTGAAAGAACAAAGTGGAAGCTCCTCCTACCTTTTTCCACTTTAGCAGAGCGAACGTTAGAGAGAAAATCGCCTCGTCTCCAGGGCTCGCTCTGCTAAAGTGGAAAAAGGTGGGAGGAGCTTCCACTTCACTATTTACCTGTCATCGACTATACACCTATAAAAATGCAATATGCGCTGTGGCTATGAGCATGAAGAGACGCCATGCTCAGTGCCAAAGCGCAGCAGTTTTTCTAAGGTTATTCATATTTTCAGCCTCGTCCTTCACCGAAGTTCGCTCATTGCTGCGATTGGCTGTATATCGACGGCATTGCAGAAAAATAGACGCCCAAAAAACTTTTACAGCGCACGCAAAGCTAATCAAGAAAGTGGCGATTAATGGCAACCTAGCGGTTGTTTCGTGAAGGCCCCTATACGCACAGTTGCGTTTGAGAGTGTTTCACTGCATTGCGGCTGCGAGAAACCAGGACATCCCTTCTTCGTATATCGCATGCCAGGCCATTCCTTCAATTGGGTACCACGCTTCATACGAAGCACAGATGTGCCAGCGACTCGCTCTCGTTTCTCGACGTAATGCAGTCAAATCTAAAGCCCTTTCATGTTCTAAAAGGAGCGCAAGGTGCGTCGATGCACGAGGCACGCGCAACGCGCAGCCCTTGGGAAGATCATTCCGGCCAAACAGTGGCGTCACTAGGGTCAACAACCTGCCGCAACACCCCCCCCCCCCCCCCCCTTTGTGATGCCATTGCGGCACAGCGCAGCACAGTTAGATTTCAGACGCCATGTTCTTCCCAGAAGTGGCGCGCGGCACGCGTCTCGAGCATTCGCACAACAATGGGTGACGTCACTTTTTCCAGGATAGAGGGGCTTTAGTCAAGCGCACTCAAACGCTCTCCTACACAAATGTTCGTATAGGGGCCTTAAGGTTTGGGCAGTAGTCAAACACTCGTTTTTCTTAACAGATTATGATATCACGATAAAGTTACATGAGAGGAACTTCTAGCAAACCGTTACCGTGTTCCGCGTACCTCACTCTCTCGTGACTGCGGGGTGCGCGCTTAAAAGCATGCTTCAAAGGCTCCGGTAGCGCTGTACGCGGAACACGGTAGCAACGGTTTGCTAAAAGTCACTAATTGTGATTTGTAGTATTGCGAATACAAGCGAACGCAAGTACCGTGCGTTTCCGTTAGCGTTGCGTGTTCCACACTGCGCGTGCCGGAGCCCAAACTGCGGTCCTGGATTGGCGTGTGGCCACGACGCGCCTGCGCAGCGTGGAGCAGAGGCTAACGCAAACGCTCAGCGCTTGCCTTTGCTCCCATACGCAATTCTAAAATTCTAACGTTTTCCTTCGGTAGCGTGCGCGCGAGATCTGCAAACACCCTTACCGGCGACCCAAAGGACCACGATGACCCAGAGAAGATCCCTGTACCGCTGGACCGACATATTCGGTTCTGGCCTTCCGCTTCGGCCGTCTCCCGCATTGTGGGCTCGAAGAGAAAACTTACGGCACAGATGCTCCTGTCGAGAGTCACGGACCACTGGGAGGGACACGACGTCTCGTAAATAAAAGGCACAGATAAAGGGAGCAACAGCTCCGATCTGCCGTACGTCGTCTGGAGCGAGGATTGTTGGCCATGTATATATCTTACGCGTGTCCGCAACGCCTGCGGACAAGCCGTTCTCAAATCTAAGGTCGCGGTCATACTGCTCGTGCATACATACATGATACGAATGACACGCCGTTCGCTGCGGAAACGATGACAAAATTACCTGGAGACGCGCCTCAAGCATTGTTCGGAGCATGTCTGCATTGCATATACGTGTGCTTCCCCGAAGATGTCTAAAGACAGTTTCTTTTTCCCGTCCAATGTGGCGGGAGCGACGTACAAGGACGAAACAGACCTGAGACAGTCTGCAGACGGTCTTTTGTATGATGTGTTAGCAGTGCAACCGGGGCTTAAGAAATTTGGAGCGTATACTTTCCCACAAAGCACCCGGCTGGAAAATAAGGAAAGCCGAAAGGGTGGCTAAAAGTGGTTTGATCGCAATTCAGAAATAATTCAAAGTAACTGCGTAAAAACCGTTTATTTCGCTCGGGCTTCGTACATCTCCCGGCAGGGTTGCTGTCGGGTTGAAGGCCCCCCGCGCAGGCGCAGTCGTGCGCCTTGCTACCTTAAAAACGCGCGCGAATAAGGACGCGGTTCCTTCAGCTCCAGTAAAGCTGCGCCATCTCACGGCGTTTGTCAGAAAGGGGGAGCGAACCCGGTTCGACACACTTGCTTCGCGGCGTTCGGACACCTCTCTCTTCTTCCACCGTGCGTGCAGGTTGTTCCTGGACTTCAAATTGTTCTAGGTGGTGCCCAGAACGGGCACGTCTTGAATTAGTTCAGCAGTATTTTGGTACAAAAAGAGAAGAGAAGAAACCCCTAATTTTTTTTAGAGCGCAGCTCTTAGGCGCCCGTTTCGGGCTTGAGCGGCGTCACCGTCGCCGTCGCCGCCGACGTCGCTGTCGCCGTCGGCGTAACAGCGCGGTGCATTATGGGTAAATTTCCCCGCTAAAGTTAGCGGAAAAATTTCCCCGCTAAATCTAGCGAAAAAATTTCCCCGCCAAATCTAGCGGAAAAATTTCCTTGCTAAATCTAGCGGAAAAATTTCCTCGCTAAATCTAGCAGAAAAATTTCCCCGCTAAATCTAGCGGAAACATTTCCCCACTAAAGCTAGCGGAAAAATTTTCCCGCTAAATTTTGCGGAAAAATTTCCCCGCTAAATCTAGCGGAAATATTTCCCCGTTAATCTAGCGGAAAAATTTCCCCGCTAAATCTAGCGGAAAAATTTTCTCTGGGGGGTCACGTGGCCCCCCCAGGTCACGTGACACCCCCCCCCCCCCGAGGTCACGTGACACCCAAAGGTCACGTGACACCCCCGAGGTCGCGTGACCCCCCCCCCCCCCCCCTTAGTACCCTTCTCTACTTCTCCTCAAGAGCTGCGCTCTAATTCGGCGTTACAGGGAGTTGTAAACGGCTTTTACTTTTTTCTTTTATTATTTATTCACAGATTACCCCGCACTGCCCGGAAGCGTTATTTCAGAGAAGTTATAGTTCAGAAGAAAAAAAAAGAATATATATATATATATATAAGTCAAAAATCCGTACTTGCGGAGTTGCTATGCTAGGAGTTTATTGCATGTATTACGACAGTACGCCCAGAAGCTTGGCTTCGTCAGGAGGTGTATGTCATCTCCTGACGAAGCCGAGCCTCTCGGCAAAACTGTCGTAATACATACAATAAACTTCCTTGCATATCAACTCCGCGAGTACGGATCTCTGACTTATTACATTTTCCCGGTCCATTGTTCTCAAGCTACTCTGCCTCACCTATATATATATATATATATATATATATATATATACTTTATTTGGTAGAGCACATATACCACTCTGCAATGGTTTTAACAAAAAAAAAAAAAAAGAATTCGCAAACATGTTTGTTTTGGCGAGGTACTCTCGGATTTTGAACACGTGATCAGTCCACCTAGAAACATAGCGTGGGTGTTTTAAACATATTTCTCTGTTAATACCGGTCTTAATATTGTATATAAAAATTAAAAACTTCAATCTCAACTTTCTTCGTCGGAAGGAAGGCAGTTCCCAATTCATTTTTTTTTTTTTTTTTTTCATTTTAGTGCTGCTTTTTTTCCGCCCCAACCGACTCAGGACCAGGCCCAGGACGAACCTAGCCAGCTCTGTTCTGAATTCTTTCCAATTTATCGATCAAGGTTGTTTGCGAGGGGTCCCAGACGGCACAGGCCTATTCTAAAATTGGTTTGACACATGTTAAGTACGAAGTTTTCTTCAAATCAGATTGTGAGCATTTCAAATTCCTTCGATTAAAATTAAATGCCCTGTCAGCTTTCACGATCACGTCATCAACATGAGTGTTCCAAGAACGGTGGGATGATAGAGTGACACCGATTGAGGTACTTATTAAGTTGCTTTCTATCCAGTAGTGACCTTCAATTGTGTTCTTTTTCTTTGTAAATCACAGGTGTACCCACTTCTTTTTCTAATTTAAATTTATATGCCAAGTTGGAGAACCCCCCCCCCCCCCCCCAAGTAATAATACACTCCAAATCTCGTTGCAACAGAGCAGCATCGTGTTCATCCTTAATTTTTCTATACACAACGTAGTCGTCGCCAAACAACCGTATACACGAGGAAATTCCCACGGAAATATTGTTTATATAAATCAAAAAACGAAAGTGGACCTAGAACAGAGCCCTGTGGGACTCCTAACGGGACGTCAACATACACCGATTTTTTTTTTTTTTTTTTCGTTCAAGACGACATATTGGAGACGCTGAAATGAGTAATTTTATGTGTTTGTGGTATGGCGAGCTCTGTAAGTTATAGAACCCGGTTGAATATCTTATCTACAACGCGAACATGGTTCGACTCGCCAATGCAAGCGCAGACTGACACGCTGTCTAAACGACGAAACGCCCAAGTTGCCGTCGGCGGTGCTTTTGAAAAGGGGATATTGCTACCAGCGGCGTAGCCAGGGAAAGAGCTTATAAGACTTCAGTCTCCCCCCCCCCCCTCCCCTCCCCTCTCCCCCCCCACCGGGGAAAAATATTCCTGGCTGTGCCAATGATTGCTATATATTCATAAAAATTCATTGTGGTGTGTGTTTGTTTAGACCAGGGTGTCGAACAGGTACCGGACCGAACCGAAAACCGGAACCGAACCGTTATTTTTAGCCGAACCGGAACTGACCTGCACCGAAATCTTCTCCGCCATCTAGGAACTGAACCGGAAAAAAATAGAACGGTAACCGGTTTAAGACGGTTCCCGGTAATGTTTGTTTCTGTTTTATTAGTATCACAAAATAAATATTTGAGAATATAAAATTGATTCATTGTGTGAGAAATTGTGAGTTCTCGTGGCGCTTTTGTTTCGGCAGTATGATTACTCATGTGTCACGTGGTCACTTGACGTGCATGGTTTAAAGTATAAAGACTGGAACGCGTCTCCGGCTGGTGTGTTTATTAAGCCCAAAAACGTGGTCCCTCAGTGTCCGCTTGATGACGTCATGAAAGTGTCATGCTGCCGTCGGTCGCGATCTTAGCGGTTGTCCCAGCAGCGGTGGTTGATCTGGCAGACGACTGTTTTGCTGCAGGTCGCTCCCCAGTGTGGCAGTCCACGGTAGCTTCGGAAGCCAGAGGTTGGGACGCCGCAACGACAGCGACGCTCGGCGTTCGCTCGTGCTTCTCGCCAGCATTTTTGCGATCAACCGCCAGGATTGCGATATCCGACAGCACGACACTCTGGCTTTTGTGACGTCATTTGGTGACACTTTGGGACCCTTGTTGCCGTATGGGCGAGATGGGAAACACACCAGTCGGGAGCGTGCTCCAGGCACCAGTGTGTCAATTGCGAGTTGAGGGGGGGAAGGGGGAGGGACTGTTTTTCCCTTAAGTTTTTCTGCCTCTGCCGTTGCGGGGAGAGGAAAACTAATAGGTATTACTATTTTCGCAAGTTAGCAACGTCAGGGATGAGTTCTTAGCGGTATTTACTGCAAGTGCAAAAATTGTTGCACGATCAGAGGGACACTGTACACGTACACATCATTGAGGCGCCCAAACTTGTTTTCATTGTTGCTGCAGAACTGCCTCAGATAGTTGTCTCTGTGAAGTATTTACAATATGTGACATTAATCCGACTTTACATAGAACTATATATAACTGTGCACAGGATGGATACCTGAAACTAAAGATCCTAGTGGCCTCAGAGGGAGAGCAGAACATTGCCAGTCGCTCTAAGTCACACAGTGTCCTTCTCAAATTGTCCCCCAAGCTTCGACCGCCACCGTAATTTTTTTTTTTTTTTTTTTGAGGGGGAGGGGGGGAGGGATGCAAAAGAAAGGCACAGGAGAATTGCATTAAACAACTGACACAAGTGAAACAGTGGTCGAACTAACAACCCCAAACGGAGCAGGGAGTCCCTCAGGAAGAAAAAGTACTCTCTAGAAGAACATCGGGAAAAAAAAAACGGGTAGAGGGGGGGGGGGGGGGGGGGGGGGGGGGACAGGGATTTGTAAAAACACTGTTGTAAACGTTCCCCTGCCCGCATCTTCGGCACAGACAAGAAAGCGTGGCCCCGGAAACTATTACCTTTGCGAAAAATACTATAGCCAGAAAGCGCGTTTTCGTAATGCCAGACGCTCAAGCCGTTCCTCATGACGCTGCACGAAGGAAGAATAATTTGTGTCTCTCAAATACATCGCATGCACAGAGAGCGAACCTTCTGCAGCGTGCATTTTGCTCTACCTGATTTTATTTTTTCACCAAGAACAAGTCGCAGTAGACCCTTCCGGAAAATCCCAGGAGACCTCGAGGCAATGGGAATTGTGGGGCCGCTTCGATGTATGTTCGTGCCGGCTCAAGCGTTCCGTATATTCCGGTAGC